CAGTGGCCTTGTAATACAGTTTGATATCAGGTATTGTGATCCCCCCTACTTTGTTCTTTCTCAAAAGAGCAGCTGCTATTCGGGGTCATTTATGGTTCCATATAAATTTTTGAAGTGTCTGTTCTATGTCTGTGAAATATGCCATTGGTACTTTAATGGGTATTGCATTGAATCTGTAAATTGCTTTGGGTAGTATGGACATTTTGATGATGTTAATTCTTCCAATCCATGAACAAGGTATATGTTTCCATTTGTTTGTGTCTTCCTTGATTTCTTTCTTCAGGGCTGTGTAGTTTTCTGCATATAGGTTTTTTACCTCCTTGGTTAGGTTTATTCCCAGATATTTTATTTTTCTTTTTGCTATATCGAATGGGATTTTTTCCTTGATTCCTGCTTCTGCTGATTCACTCTTGGTATACAAAAATGCCTTTGATTTCTGGATATTGACTTTGTAACCAGCTGTTTTGCCAAATTCATTAATTAGTTCGAGCAGTTTTTTGGTAGAGTCTATAGAATTTTCCATGTACACTATCATGTCATCTGCAAACAGTGACAGTTTTGTTTCCTCCTTCCCTATTTGGATGCCTTTTCTTGCCTGATCGCTGTGGCTAAAACTTCCAATACTATATTGAATAGAAGTGGTGAAAGTGGACATCCTTGTCTTGTTCCTGTTCTTAGTGGAAAAGCTTTTAGTTTTTTCCCATTGAGTATGATATTGGCTGTAGGTCTCTCATATATGGCCTTTATTATTTTGAGAAATGCTCCCTGTATTTCCACTTTGATGAGTGTTTTTATCATAAATGGGTGTTGTACCTTATCGAAAACTTTTACCACATCTATTGATATGATCATGTGGTTTTTGTCTTTGCTTTTGTTTATGTGATGAATTACATTTACTGATTTGTGAATATTGAACCATCCTTGCATCCCTGGGATGAATCCCACTTAGTCATGGTGTATGATCTTTTTGAAATATTGTTGGATGCGATTTGCCAATATTTTGTTGAGGATTTTAGCATCTATGTTCATCAGAGATATTGGCCTGAAGTTTTCTTTCTTTGTTGTGTCTCTATCTGGTTTTGGAATTAAGATGATGCTGGCTTCATAACAAGAATTTGGGAGTTTTCCATCCTTCTGGATTTTTTGGAATAGTCTGTGGAGAATAGGGGTTAGCTTTTCCTTAAATGCTTTGTAGAATTCTCCTGTGAAACCATCTGGTCCAGGGCTTTTTGTGATGGGAGTTTTTTGATTACTGCTTCAATTTCTTTTGCTGTTATTGGTGTATTTAGATTTTCTGCTTCTTTTTCACTGAGTTTTGGAAGATTGTATTTTTCTAGAAATGTGTCCATTTCCCCTAGGTTTTCAAGTTTCTTGGCATACAGTTCTTCATAGATATTTCTTACAATCCCTTCTATTTCTGTGGTATCAGTTGTAATCTCTCCTGTTTCATTTCTGATTGTGTTTATTTGTGTCCTCTCTCCTCTTTTCTTGATGAGCCTACTTAAAGGCTTGTCTATTTTGTTTATCTTCTCAAAGAACCGACTCCTGGATTTATTGATCCTTAAAATTGTGCTTTTAGTTTCTATGTCATTTAATTCTGCTCTAATCTTGGTTATTTCCTTCCTTCTGCTTGCTGTGGGCTGTCTTTGTTGTTGTTCCTCAAGTTCTTGCAGGCGTAGGGTTAGGTTGTTTGTTTGAAATATTTCTATCTTCTTTAGGTAGGCCTGTATTGCTATAAACTTCCCTCTCAGGACTGCCTTCGCTGTGTCCCATAAGTTTTGGGTTGTTGTGAGATCATTTTCATTTGTTTCCAGAAATGTTTTGCTTTCTTCCCTAATTTCATTCTTGACCCATTTGTTGTTTAATAGCATACCATTCAGTCTCCATGATTTTGGGTGCTTTGGGTTTTTTCCTTTGGGATTGGTTTCCAATTTCAGTCCCTTGTGGTGAGAGAAGATGCTTGGTATGATTTCAATTTTCTTGGACTTGTTGAGGTTCGTTTTGTGTCCTATCATGTGGTCTATCTTTGAAAATGTTCCATGTGCATTTGAAAAGAATGTGTATTTAGCTTCTTTGGGATGAAGGGATCTATATATATCAGTTAAGTCCATTTCATCTAGGGTGTTGTTTAATGCCACAATATCTTTTTTGATAATTTGTTTGGAAGATCTGTCCATTTTTGATCGTGGGGTGTTAAAATCCCCCACTATAATTGTTTTGCTGTCAATATCTTTCTTGAAGTCCTCCAAGATTTTCTTGATATATTTGGGTGCTCCTATGTTTGGTGCATATATGTTTACAATGTTAATGTTTTCTTGGTGGATTCTTCCCTTGAGTATAATGAAGTGACCTTCTGGGTCTCTATGGCCTTTTTTTTGAAGTCTATTTTGTCCAATATGAGAATTGCTACCCCAGCTTCTTTTTCTTGTCCGATTGCTTGGAAAACTTGTTTCCAGCCTTTCACTTTTAGTCTGTGATGGTCCTTTGTCCTGAGGTGGGTCTCTTGTAGGCAGCATATGTGTGGGTCATGCTTTCTTATCCATTGAGTTATTGTGTGTATTTTGATTGGAGCATTTAATCCATTTACATTTAAGGTTATTATTGATAGGTATTTATTCATTGCCATTTTTGTACTTGTGTTCCTCTCTGTCTCCCTCTTATCCTTCCTTCCTTTAAAGCAGTCCTTTTAGTATTTCTTGTAGAGCTGGTTTGGTGGAGGCATATTCTTTTAGGCTTCATTTGTCTTGGAAGCTCTTTATTTAGCCTCCTATCTTGATTGAGAGCCTTGCTGGGTAAAGTAGTGTTGGTTGTAGGCCTCTGATTCTCATTACTTGGAATATTTCTTGCCATTCTCTTCTTGCTTGAAGTGTTTCCATTGAGAAGTCAGTAGCTTCCCTTATTGGGGCTCCCTTTTATGCTATTTCTTTTTTCTCCCTTGCTGCCTTTAAGAGTCTCTCTTTGTCTTGGAATTTTGCCATTTTGACGATAATGTGTCTTGAAGTGGGCCTCCTTGCGTTCCTCTTGATTGGGACTTTCTTTGATTCCTGGATTTGTGAGACTTTTTCTCTTATCAAATTAGGGAAATTTTCTCTCATTACTCGTTCAAATACATTTTCTATCCCTTGTTCTTCTTCTCCTTCTGGTATTCCTATTATTCAGATATTATTACGTTTCATATTGTCTTGCATTTCTTTTAATCCCTTCTCATTCTTTCTGAGCCTCTTTTCATTTTCTTGCTCTTTCTGTGAGATGCTTTCTACCTTGTCCTCCAACTCACTAATCCTATCCTCTACTTTATCTATCCTACTTTGGAAACTTTCTACTGTGTACTTCAATTCAGAAATTGTGTTTTTCATTTCCTCTTGTCTCTTGCTGATAGTTTCCATTTCCTTTTTGATGTTGCTGTAGTTTGCAGAGAGATCATTATAGTTCCCCTGTAGTTTCTGGTAGTTCACTGTGAGCTCTTTGAACTTCTTAATAACCAGTGCTTTGAATTCACTGTCTGATAGTTGATCAGCCTCTATTTCATCTAACATTCTTTCTGAAGTTTCTGCTTTTTCTTTCATTTGGGGATTGTTTCTTTGTCTTCCCATTGTTTGAGACTCTTCTTGTTAGTCTCTGCTTCTAAAATTGATCTGTTCTGAAACCCTGGTTTTATGGTGTAAACTTCTGTGGTATGATCCTTGTGAAGTTCAGTGGTGCAGACTCCTTGAAGTTTCTTGATGTTCTTCGTCTCCACCTACTCTCACGCTGGTCTCCCACTGGTCCCTGCATTGTTCGCCTACCACTGCTGAATGTCTCGGCTCTAGTAGCTGCCTCCTCAAGCACCCAGGCCCGTTACTACTGCAGCAGCACAGAGGCTGGGAATGTCCCGTGTCCCTTATCTGGCTCCTCTGCCGCCCACGTCCGTCACAGATGTTTGGAGTGTCCTGGCTTCTGTACCTGACTCCGCAGCCAGTCCCATCGCTATGGCAGCAGCACAGGGACGGAGAATGTCCCAGCTCCCGTAGCTGGCTCCTCCGTGCTCAGGCTCGTCTCTATGGTGGCTTCACAGGGGCCTCGGGTGTCCCAGCTCCTACAACTGACCCCTCCGTTGCCCAGGCCGGTAACTATGGCATCAGCACAGGGGCCGAGAAGGTCCCAGCTCCGGTTCCTGACTCCTCTGTTTCCCAGGACCATCACAGGGGCTTTGAGTGTCCGGCTCCCATACCTGACTCCCCAGCTCCCAGGCCTGTTGCTCTGGCGGCAGCACAGGGGCCGCGTGAGATCCAGCTCCAGTAGCTGACTCTGCCGTCGTCTGGTGTTTCAGCGTTGGTCACAATCTCTGGTCTTTTAATTTCATAAATGCTGGGTAACTGATGGTTTATTGTGCTGTTTCTCTATAGATCTGTCAGGATTTTCACACATGAGTACAGGAGCTAGCATCAGCTCCGTCTTTCTCCGTCGCCATCTTCCCAGCACCTCCTTTTGCTCATTTTTAAATTAGGTTATTTGATTTGTTGTTGATTTGTAGCAGTCTTTATATATTCTAGATATGAATCCCTTATCAGACATATGATTTGCAAATATATACTCCCATTCTGGGAGGCTTGTGATGACTGATTCAATATCTTTACTAGTAATTGGTGTGTTCAGATTTTCTATTTCTTTATGATTCAGTCTTTCTAGGTTGTATGCTTCTAGGAATTTATCCATTTCTTGTAGGTTCTGATTTGTTTGCATATAATTGTTAATAGTGGTCTCTTATAATTCTTAGTATTTTTGTGTTATCAATGTAATGTCTTCTCTTAAATTTATTTATTTTTGATGCACAGACCCTGCCTTTGGTTTATTTGCACAAATGGCACAGGAGGACCCCAGCCCCGGGGGCACACCAGTGTTTCTGTCTTCACGTCAGCAGACAGAGGCCTCTACTGTAGAGCCTTCGCAGGGGCCTGGGCAGCTCTGGGAGCCTGGGACTGAGCCTGAGCTGGAGCCTGAGCCACAGCTGCATCTGAAGCCTAGAGCTTGGTTTGGGCCTTGGCCTTGGCCTTTGGTGGACAGAGACAGAAACCCTTGGCCATGCAGGCATGAGTACTCTTTGTGAGCTTGGGGTTAGCAGTGTAAGCAAGTTGACTGAGCTTGTGGCTGCTTGTTTGGAACCACCCTGTGTGGTTTCAGGAGCTGTAACCCACCCCATGGCTAAGGCTGAGTGAGCGACCTTTGGACCATAAGCCATTAAGGTGACAAAGTTTATCTCCCTGGCAGGAGCAGCACTGCCTCTGCTCCTTTTTCTTCATTCTGCCTGGCCCCCAGTGCTAGATCAGTTAGCCAAAGATGAATAACATTCCCCAAGGGGGGAATGACCTAAGACAGGCATGATCATGGGGAGGCTCCAGGGAAGGACTTGGGAGGCTATAGCAAAAAGGGGTGATGGACTCTCGCCCCTTAGCTTTGACATAGCCTGAGTCCTCATTCTGTCTGCAAGAAATCTCCTAATCTCTTGGCTACCTTACTTCCCCTGCCTGACTTAAACCTGAAACAATGACAGAGGGCGGTGCAGCCCCGTGCTGGAAAGGGCAGGTTCCCTAGGGCAATCAGGCCTAAGAAAGAATACATGAACTCCTATGAAACCTGCTTTGCTAAGAATGTTCTCAATTAAATGATAAGGATCTGAGCAGGAAATGAATGTTTCCCCAAATTTTGTAGCCCTTTAGCTAACAAACCCTGACTCAGAATAGGCCCTCAGAGTTCTTTATATGTTATCTATTTATTGTTTGATCCTTACTGCCTGACAATGATTAATGAGCTTTACCTGGATTCTGGTGCAAAATCAACCCCATAAAAGCCCATTGAATAAAAGGCTCTTGGCCCTTCTCCTTTGAGAGATCAGCCACCTTTCCTTCTCAAGCAGATCATGTCTTTGTAGACTTATTCTCATCTGTGGTGGCCAGAGAGGCCCTGCGGGTGGAGCACCCCCCCCCCAAAGCTGCTGCCTTTGGGATCTTGGGCTTGAGCTCCTTGGTCTTGACTAGGGCCATGATAGCCTCAGCATATGCACTCATGGCCTTGGTGCTGTTGGCCTGCATCTTCTTCAGGTCCTTCTTGTGCTTCTTGGCAAAGTGCATGTTCCTCAGCAACTTGGGGTCTACCCCCTTCAGAGATTTGTATCTTTGTGATTGGGGTTTCTTAATGCCATTTTGGGGACATTTTGGGGACTGGTTGTGCATAGTGTGGTTCTTGGACTTGGCCATCTCTGCACCCGAGCCTGCAGCTCTAGAGTGCCTGGGACTGGAAGAGAAAGAGTTCCTCTTAAATTTCTGATTTAATTTAATTGAGTCTTCTCTTTTTCCATTTGTTAGTGAGTTTAGCAAAAAGTTTAAGTTTTATAACTATGTTCATAAAAGTAGCTCTTAGTTTCACTGATTTTTTAAACTTTTTTTAGTTTCCATTTTACTTATTTCTGTTCTGATCTCTATTTCCTTCCTTTCAGTAACTTTGGGCTTTGTTTCTTTTTCTTTTTCTAGTTCTATGAGGTATATAAAGTTAGGTTATTTGAGATCTTTCATATTTCTTTTTTTGGTATATTTTATTGATTATTCTAGTATAGTTGTCCCATTTTTTTTATCCCTTTTATCCCCCTACCTGCTGCATTCCTCTCATCCTTCTGTATCCTCCCCTCCTTAGTTCATGTCCATGAGTTGTACATATAACTCTTGGCTTTTCCATTTTCTAGACTATTTTAACTTCCTCCTGTCTATTTTGTGCCTACCTATTATGCACCTTTCCTCCTCATGCTCTCCATCTCCCTCCCCACTGATGACCTCCCATATGATTTCCATTTCTGTGAATCTGTTCCTGTTCTAATTGTTTGCCTAGTTTTTTTTGTTGTTGTTTTTTAGGTTCAGTTGTTGGTAGTTGTGAGTTTGTTGTCATTGTACTGTTCATAATTTTTTTATCTTCTTCTATTTCTTAGATAAGTCCCTTTAACATTTCATATAATAAGGGCTTGGTGATGATGAACTTCTTTAACTTGACCTTATCTGGGAAGCATTTTATCTGCCCTTCCATTCTAAGTGATAGCTTTGCTGGATAGAGTAATCCTGGATGTCAGTCCTTGCCTTTCATGACTTTGAATACTTTTTTCCAGCCCCTTATTGCCAGCAAGGTTTCTTATGAGAAATTAGCTGATAGTCTAATGGGCACTCCTTCATAGGTAATGAAGGAGTCCCTTCATTACCTATGAAGGAGTCTCCATGTCTCTTTTTGCTTTTAAGATTCTCTCCTTACCTTTAATCTTGTGGAATGTGATTATGATATGCCTTGGTGTGTGCTTCCTTGAGTCCACCTTCTCTGGGACTTCTTGGAAGTCTATTTCCTTTGCCAGATTGGGGAAGTTCTACTTCACTATGTTTTCAATTTCTTGCTCTTCCTCTTGTCCATCTGGCACCCTTATGATTTGGATGTTGGAACATTTAAAGTTGTCCCAGAGGTTCCTAAGCCTCTCATTTTTTGAGTTGTTTTTTCTTCATTCTGTTTTGGTTGTAAGTCTTATTCTATCTTTTCTTTTAAATTGTTGATTTGAACCCCAGTTTTCTTCCTTTCACTGTTGGTTCCCTGTATGTTTTGCTTTATTTCACTCCATGTAGCCTTCATTTCTTCCTGCATTTTGTGACCAAGCTCAATCATTTCTGTGAGCATCTTGATTCCCAGTGTTTTGAACTGTGCTTCAGATAGGTTGTCTATCTCCTCATCACTTAGTTCTTTTTCTGGAGTTTTGACTGTTTTTTCATTTGGGCCTTCTTTTTTTCAGCACACCAGTTATATAGAAAGGGGCAGAGACTTAGGTATATGCTAAGGTGGGGTAACCCTTTTGGCTGGGTTGTCGTGCTGTCTGTGAGGAAGGGGTGAGAGAGGGAACAATGCCGATTGCTAGGCTCTCACCCCACTTTCCATCACTTTCCTTGATTCCCACAAGCAGATTTTGCCCTGTCAGGTGCTGATTCAAAGGTGGGTGGATTTGCGTATGTCCTAGGATCCTGTGGGTTTTTCCAACAGACTCTGTTGTGAGACTGGGAGTTTCTCTTGCTGCCATAATTTCCACATATTTTTACAGCCAGAGGTTTTGAGTCTTTAGTTTCCCACACTGAAACCTTGGGTTTTGTTTTTCAATTGTTCTTCCCAGCTTATCCACACACAAATGTGGGACCATGTGTTCAGCCATTCCCCACCTCACCTGAGTGGTCTGCCACCTTGCCTTGCCCCACGTTGTCTCTGGCCCTATTGCCACCCTTCCTACCAGTCTTGGTGAATGATTCTTTAACTCCTTGGCTGTCAGACTTCCATGCAGTTTGATTTTCTGGCAGTTCTGGTTGTTTTTATTTTGAAATTGGTTGTTATCCTTCTTTTGGTTGTGTGAGGAAGTAAAACATTTCACCAATGCTTCCATTTAGCCTAATCTTTTTTATTTCTTGATGGTAGGTATTTATCACTATCAACTTTCCTTTGTGAACTGTTTTTGCTGCATTTGTAGGTTTGGCATATTGTACTTCCAGTTTTATTTGTCTCAAGATATTTTACAAGTTTTCTTTTGATTTCTTCTTTGGCTTGTAGGTTATTCAGAAGCATGTTGTTGAATCTCCATATATTTGTAAAATTCTCAGTTTTCTTTTTGTTATTTATGTCTAGTTTCATACTATAATGGTTAAAAGAGATACTTGATATCATTTTAATCTTATATTTATTGAGACTCATTTTATGGCTTAACATGAGATCTCTCCTGGAGAATGTTCCATGTGCACTTGAGTAGAATGTGTGTCTTGTTGCTCTTTGATGGAGTGTTCTGCACATGCCAACTAACTCAATTTGGTCTAACATGTAACTTAAGTCAATATTTCCTTATTGATTTTCTATCTGGATGATATATCTATTTTTTAATGTGTTTTATTGATTATGCCATTTACAGTTGTCCCATTTCCCCCCCTTCATTCCCCTCCACCCTACACACCCATTCCCCCCATTCTCCCCCTTTTGGTTCATGTCCATGTGTCATTAGGTTCTTTAGCTTCTACATTTCCCATACTATTCTTGTCCTTCCCCCTGTCTAATTTCTACCTACCATCTATGCTACCTAGTCTCTGTACCTTCTCCCCCCACCCTCCTCCCACTCCTCTGTTGCTAACCCTCCATGTGATCTCCATTTTTATGGTTCTACTCCTGATCTAGCTGTCCTCTTAGTTTGCTTTTGTTTTAGGTGTGGTTGTTAATAACTGTGAGTTTGCTGTCATTTCACTGTCCATATCTTTTATCTCCTTCTTAGATAAGTCCTTTTAATATTTCATATAATAAGAGCTTGGTGATGATGAACTCCTTGAACTTGATCTTAACTGAGAAGCACTTTATCTGCTCTTCAATTCTAAATGAAAGCTTTGCTGGATAAAGCAATTTTATATGTAGGTCTTTAGATTTCATGACTTGGGATACTTTTTTCCAGCCCCTTCTTGCCTGAAAGGTCTCTTCTGAGAAATCAGTTGAACAGTCTGATGGACACTCCTTTGTAGGTGACTGTCCTCCTATCTCTTGCTGCTTCTAGGATTCTCTCCTTCATTTTAATCTTGGCTAATGTAATGATGATGTGCCTTGGTGTGTTCTTCCTTGGGTCCAACTTCTATGGGACTCTCTGAGCTTCCTGGACTTCCTGGAAATCTATTTCCTTTGCCAGATAGAGGAAGTTCTTCTTTATTAGTTGTTCAAATAAGTTTTCCACTCATTGCTCTTCCTCTTCCCCTTCTGGTACCCCTATAATTCGGATGTTGGAACGTTTAAAGATGTCCTGGAGGTTCCTAAGCTCTCCTAATTTTTTTGAATTCTTGTTTCTTCATCTTTCTGTTCAGTTGTTTCTTTCTTCGTTCTGGTCCACTCCATTGATATGAGTCCCAGTTTCCTTCCCAGGAAGGAAATTGGTTCCCTGTGCTTTTTGCTTCATTGCACTTAGTGAAGCCTTCATATTTTCATCTAATTTGTGACTAGAATCAATCAGTTCTGTGAGTATCCTGATCACCAGTGTTTTGGACTGTGCATCTGATAGGTTGGCTATCTCTTGGTTGCTTAGAAGTATTGGCTCTGGGCTTTGAGCTGCTCTTCTTGAGCCATAATGTTTTGGTCTGTTTGTGCCTGTTATGTGTGAGGTGTGGAGCCTTAGGTGTTCACCAGGGTGGGGCAACCCAGGTGGCTGGGTTGTGATGCTGTATGTGGGGGCAGGGTCAGAGAGGGCAAATGGTGCTTTTTCTGCTCTCTCTCAGATTTGTGTCCTCTCTGCTGCTTCCAGCACGCAAATTGGGCCCTTCTGGTGCTGGTTCCTGGATGTGTGGGATTGTGCACCCTCCAGAACCCTGTGGGTCTCTCCAACAAACTCTCTGTGATCCTGCGAGCCTCTCCAAGCACCTTGACTCCCGAAATTTTTTCTAATTAGTGCTTTTCAGCTTTATTTCCCTCCACTGGGGCCCTGGGTTGTGTGGTCTATCTCACTGCTTGCTCCTTTGCCTGGTTTATCTGTGCGGGAATGTGTGACCGCAGTCAACCAGCTACCTTGCACCCTTACTGGGTCTGTCCATTGCCACCCCATGCCTGGGATCTGCCAACTGCCACTTGTGGGCCTGGGTCAGTCCAGCCACTTTTTCCTGCATGACCCCTCTCCACCAGCTGCTGACTCTGCCCCTCTTACCAGTCTGGATGAATGGTTCGTTGTTGTTCGACTTCAGTACAGTTTAATTTTTCTCTCTATTTTGGTTGCATTCTGGTTTTTAAATATTTGTTGTTCATAAACTAGGTTGTACAAGGAGGTACAGTGTTTCCCTCTATGCCCCCATCTTGGCCAGAAGTCTTATGATTTTCTTAATTTCTTGTAAAGCTTGATCCTATAGGTTAGAGCTCTGGCACACCAATAGTCTCACACACTTGTCCTCCTGGAGGCAAAGCCTGGATGATATATCTATTGATTAAAGTGGAATATTGAATTCTCATAGTATTAAGTATAGTTACCTCTTCTTCTTTTTGGTTTGTGGTTGCATGGATATAATTTCCTATTCTTTCTTTTAGACTTTGTGTGTTCTTAGAGCTACATAATTGACACTACAACAGCAGACTTCCTTGGGCCTAGCGAGAAACTCTACCTGTGACAATAGACAATTTCAAGTTTTCACTGGGTGCTACCAAAACACACAGAGCTCTGTGAGATTGATATTGACTGATTTTT